CCACCTTCAGGCTTTCAAAGGGCATGTTTCCTCTTGTCACTTCCTTACTACCTATCACAGTTTCAGAGGCCCTGAAAAGCCATGATAGTACAAACAAAACCCCCCCCCCCCCAATTACAAATTTTTGGAAATTCGACACCCTAAGGAATTTGATTAGAGGCATGGTGATTATTTTTCAGATATAATTTTTTGTCACAGGGGTTTAAAAAAAGAAAAGAAAAATATATTTTTTGTTTTCTTTCTTCATTTCCCAAAAACCTGTGGCAACAAATGAAGTCTGAAAAATACTCACTATGCTCCTTAGCAAATACCTTGGAGTGTCTACTTTCCAGAAAGGGGTCATTTGGGGGGTGCTTCTACTATCCTGTCATTTCAGGGCCAACTTTGGAAGCTTATGTCACACATCACTCACTCTTTTTACCGCTTGAAGACCAAGCCTTTCCTTACACTTTTTGTTTATATGAAAAAAAAGATGTTTTTGCTAGAAAATTACTTTGAACCCCCAAATATTATATATGTGTTTAAACAGAGTCCCTAGAGAATAAAACAGTGGGTGCTGAAATGTTTTACGTCTCACAGTATTTTTTTGGGAAAAATACACTTTAATTTTATTGTACAAAAACTCAATGTATTGCCCAATTGGCTGATAAAATATAAAAGATGATGCTACAAAAAGTAAAATGGTATCAAACATGACATGCTTACAAATTGTGCACACCCGTGCAATGGTGACAAACTATATACATTTTTAATATCTATAGGCCACCACTTTAGATTTACACAGGAAGTCTAGTGCTAGAATTACTTCCCTTGATCTGACATTCATGGTGATACCTGACATGCATGGTGCAATTTCTGTTTACGTACTGACACAGGGCCGACACTTGCATTTACCTATGTGCGCAAGCACGGGGATGTGGGCAGGGGTGAATTTTTTCTTTGTTATTATTTTGCTTTTTGCTTTTTTACACTGTCCCTTTCACTTTTTTTAGCACTTTTATTGTTATCACAGGAAATGTAAATATCCTCTGTGATAGCAATAGGCAGTGACAGGTACTCTGTTCTGAGAAATCTGGGGTCTAATAGACTCTAGATCTCTCCTCTGCCCTTAAAGCATCTGATTTCATCAAGATCTGTGTGATCAGATGCTTTCCCAATTTTAAGATGGCACTGTTTATATCCGGGAAAACCAAATGATAACATTCCAGTTGCTTCTGGTTTTCTAAACCATGGAGATGATTGGAGCCATTCCAAAGCCTTCGGCTGCATTCTTGGGTTCCCCGGTGAAACCCCCGGAGTCCCCATCCACAGTGTAGTGTCACCTATCCCCCACAGCATTGTGTGTCAGCCATCCCCACACAAAGTGTGGCATGTCACCCATCCTCACCCACAGGGTGGTATGTCACCCATCCCCACCCTCAGCGTGGCATGTCATCCATCTCCACCCACAGTGTGGCATGTCACCCATCCCTGCAAACAGTGTGTCATGTCCCCCATCTCCACCCACAGTGTGGCGTGCCACCGCCCACCCCCCCCCCCCAACATTGCTTGTCACTCATCCACAGCGTAATGTGTCACCCCGTTTGACCTTATTGCACATCAAGGAAGAAAAATGTTCAACATGGGGCCAGTCAGCTGTCTTCAGTATCATCCTTGACCAGGCATGTGTCTCTTCTACAGCTGTTGGAATGCAAGAAAAAATATTTTCTCAGTCACCCCCCCCATCCAATGTCTAATAACAGCTATGTGAAATTGCTGGTTTACACTATTTTGGATTCTTTGCTTTTGTTTTTATATATCAATTTAAGAATGGGTGAACATCTTTGAGTTTCCCAAGGCGGAGATATCCGCTGATCCAAGCACACTTACAAGGGATACTCTAGGAGACCTCCACAGGATTTATATGCCAAAGCATTCAATGACCTTTCTTTAATCAGAGGGTCATGGATATCTAGTAAGAATGCATAGTGTAATTTGGTGGAGGCCCTTTCTAATTTTCCCAGGATATCCTTTCTCCAGTCAACTCTACCTTGGATGCGGTCATATTTTCCTTCTTTTGGTTTCCGGATTCGTCTATAAAAAGATTCACATTTATAAATTTCTCACATTGGGACTATTTAATTATGATTTTGGGATTATTTACTTATGGTATTTTGTATTTATTTATGTATTTATTGGTATTTGGCATTGTGCAACACATTTTTTATATAACTTCTTTCACTGTGCCAATATCTCATAGTATTTCTGCAGCTTTCCTTTATTAATATTAATATTAATAAATTGGTACACACTAGCACAATTTGATTAATATCACACATATTACACACAGGAATGATGTGCCCAATCCAAAAGATATCACATCACAGAATATAAACCCCAAATTGTTCAGTACTAACCCTTTAAAGTAAATCTTTGGTCAGTCCTTGGACATTCAATTTTTTGAAAATAGTAAATGAGTTTTTAGGCCCCGTGGAGCAATGCATCCTCAAATTACTTAGCAAAAGTACTGAAGCAGTTTGTTTCAATCTTTATTTATGTATCCCTAAGAACTAGTAAATAAGCCTTAAAACAACCCATGCTCTCCAAACACCTGTTCAGTATTTATTTTTAACAGGTATTTAGGCAATATACACATCGCTCAACATACAATATAATTTGAATTCACCTACATCTCTGTCCTCAATGAGCTTACAGTCTAAGGTCCACTCCTCACTTGCATACATTCACTAGGGCTAATTTGTCTACTAACATGTTTTAGGAGTACGGGAGGAAAATACCATAAGCACAGACAGAACGTGCAAACAGCATTGTGGTTAGGATTTGAACCAATGAGCCTAGTGCTGCAAGGCACAGGTTCTAACCACTAAGCTACTGTACTGTCCCTCATAACTTAGAAAGTAAAATACATCACAGTGCATGTAGCTACAGAGGTCAACACGATTTGATCATTTACTGTGTAAAGAATATGAATATAGATAAGAAAACCAAGTAAAGTTTGGTTCACAAGATTTGGAAAACCCGGCAGGAAGTCCATGAACACCAAACATATTGCTTGGTGTTAACCCTATTAAAGCCTATTGGAGCTGAATGTTGCATTTTTTTCAAGGCTAGTTTCCAAGTTGTCAAAAAAGTAGATGTATAGCTGGGCACTGCCACAGGGGACAATGCCAAAAATCTTAAAAAAAAAAAAGGTTCAGTGGGGAGAGTCAAAGTTCAGTGTTACAAGTATTTTCATGTGGTTTAAAGGCCAACATTGAAAATGCACAAACTATTCAAATAACGTAATGGAGGATGCCCTAAAATAAAATGTACCTTTTATAGAACAGTAGCAGTTAAGCATTTAAAGAATTGACTTCTGCTACATGGCAGATCCCCTCTGTTTGCAAACAAACCTGCCAGGGATCATAGATGACATAATTGACCAAATATGTCCGTGTCCATATATGGTCAATGACACCACCTAGGATTCCCCCCATGTTTAGTTACAAGCAGAAGAAGACTGGGTATCTGTCATTTTGCAGTGGTAGTGTGGTGAAGCAGGATTGTCAGGTGGAGTCACATTGTCAAACAACAGACCGTCGTGGAGGTGGACCATTGTGATTGATACTAGATATACATCATTACAAGATGGGATTGATGTTGGATTTACAGTACTTTTTTTGACAAAACTATTTACTTTTTACATTTTTGAGAATAATGAGTAAAAAGGGGTACTTATGTACTCTGTACTCATTGCTGTAGGGGAGGGACTAGGTATTTTAGGCCCTCCATATTTTAAATAGGCTTTAAGATTCCAATAAGTCCCCCTTGCGATTCCCCACCTTTTCTTGGAGTATTGGATTTGGGGAAGGGGGTGAAGATAACAAAGTATTTGCCTACCTTTCCTGGCCAGACATGCTGCATGCATTGATAAGGGCCTGATATCAATTTCAGGGGGAACCCACACGTTGTTGCCTTTTTTAGATGTGTACTGTGTACAAAACAAAACAGCAAGGGGTGATTCTTCTAATTAACATCAGACTCTTATTCTTGTATGCAGCATGGATGGCTAGAAAAGGTAGCGTGCGCCCCCTCCTCCATAGAGGGACCCTATTTTTTCATAAAAGGATAGTACCAATTTTAGTGCAATAAAGTTTAATCCCCTTTTAGAAAAAAGGTTCCCCTAAACACTTATTAAAAACTCTTATCCAGGCACACCAATGTCCTAGTGTTAGGAAGACAAGGGGCTCATCCCTATATACTGTTCCTCCAAACAAATACAGTAAGTTTTCCAGGAGGACTCTTGGAATCTTCAAATAAGGGGGCTCTCAAAATTTCCCCCCCCCCCCCACAGGTGAAAGAGTACATAAAAAAACCCATAGCCTGATGATTTTCATCCATCGCACAATGATAGAACATTGGCTGCCTGCTTTAAATTTTGAAATGTTCAGTGTTATATTTTAGGGTTCAGCTAGAGCAGGGGTCCTCAAACTACGGCCCTTGAGCCACATTGCGGCCCACCGAGCCCTCCGGAAGGGGCGTATTTGCCGTGAGGAAGGGACACTAAGTACAGGGGTGGGCAAGGGGCTGCTGTATCTTACCTGGCTCCGTGTCCCAGTCCCACGACGATCCAGTCCAGGAAGCGCTGCTCCTTCATTCACTCCGGCCACTCCCTCACTCGATGTTCGCGCTGCCGCTCGGCTCCACCTCCTCACCGGTGATTGGGCGCCAGAACTGTAGCTCAGGAAAGGCACACAGGCAGCCAATCACTTGCGAGGAGGCGGAGCCGAGCGGCTCCGCAAACATCGAGTGAGGGAGAGGCCGGAGTGAAGAAGGACAGCTGACAGGTAAGTGTTCTGTGCAGATGGTGCTGCTGCAACCAGGTATTATGGCTGCAGCATCACCATGCTGAAACAGGGATCAACAAGTTAAGTGTCATTGGTGTCAGTGGGAGGATAGTGACCCATCATTGTGTCACTGATACTAATGATGGGGCATTATTCCTCCCACTGACACCAATGATGGGGCACTATTCCTCCCCCCACTGACACCAACGATGGGGCACTATTCCTCCCCCCCACTGACACCAACGATGGGGCACTATTCCACCCCCCACTGACACCAACGATGGAACCTTATTCCTTCCCCTACTGACACCAATGACGGGGTACTATTCCTGCCACTGACACCAATGTTGGGACACTATCCCCCCCCCACTGATACCAATGATGGGGCACTATTCCCCCCCACTGATACCAATGACGTACTATTCCCCCCAATGACACCAAAGATGGTGCACTATTCCTCCCACTGACACCAATGATGGGACACTATTCCTCCCACTGACACCAATGACGGGGCACTATTCCCCCCCACACTGACACCAACGATGGGGCACTATTCCTCCCCCCACTGACACCAACAATGGGGCACTATTCCTCCCCACACTGACACTAATGATGGGGCACTATTCCTCCCACTGACACCAATGATGGGGCACTATTCCTCCCACTGACACCAATGATGGGGCACTATTCCTCCCACTGACACCAATGATGGGGCACGATTCTTCCCACTGACACCAATGATGGGGCACTATTCCTCCCACTGACACTAATGATGGGGCACGATTCTTCCCACTGACACCAATGATGGGGCACTATTCCTCCCACTGACACCAATGATGGGGCACTATTTCGCTCCACAAGAGACACTTGGGGGGAAATGTCTGTGTGTCTTATGGAGCGGCCGACCCAGTATTCCCGCTGCCGTTGTATGTCCGCAGTCTCTGGTCATCTCCTGTACTGTGTCCGCAGTCTCTGGTCATCTCCTGTACTATGTCCGCAGTCTCTGTTCATCTCCTGTACTATGTCCGCAGTCTCTGTTCATCTCCTGTACTATGTCCGCAGTCTCTGGTCATCTCATGTACTATGTCTGCAGTCTGTGGTCATCTCCTGTACTGTGTCCGCATTTGTTCATAGTTTTTTTTTTTTTAAACTATAGTCCAGCCCTCCAATGGTCTAAGGGACAATGAACTGGCTCCCTGTTTAAAAAGTTTGAGGACCCCTGAGCTAGAGGCTTGAGTATATAAAAGACTAACTAGCATATGACTATAAAGATGTTTTCCATCTAATATTTACTTAAACACTGCACAGTATCTTATTTCTTTTTATAGCACTATATATTCATGACAACCCCTGCCCTCATAGTATGGCCAATTTACCTACCAGAATGTCCTTGGAGTGTGGAGAGAAACTCATGCAAGCAGAGGGAAAACATGCAAACAACATCCTGACTTGGATTTGAACCAGGGATCCTAGTACTGAACAAGTACTAACAAGTAGCCTACTGTGCTGTCCCCAGAAATGAATACTTAATAAGGTAGACCTACATGAACCAATCTTATTTCTGTTTAACCATCCCTTTCAAATCAAGTTCATATGGACCACAACTAATACATATCTCCTGTTTAGTACTCAGATTTGGAATATTTCTTTATAGCCCATTCAATGTTTGAATCGAAATTTGACTTTCATAAACTGCAAAATTATCTCTTGGTGGAAATATTCTCTGCAGAGTATTAACAGAAACGAAAACAATTGAAAACCATTATTTGATTTATACACAGTGTTTGCAAAACATTTTGCTGTGAGAACTTCAGTTCCAGCTGTGAGGCTCCAGCTGTGTTTTCCTCTTTCTCCTAGCCAGCACTTTGTGCAGTACTGTGTATCCACCATTCGTGACTTAAACCATAGATTAGTAAAATGTCTGTTCTGAGATTCAGATTTATGGCACAATAAAAAAATAATATACTAACCATACATCACATTTAAAAACTAACATTAAATGTTGAAAAAGATTCAGCAACATATTGGTCCACAGAGCATTTGAAAATGTTTTTATTTCCAAAATATAAGCAGAGAAGGTGGAAAACACTGATCTGAATGTTGGTTTTATTGTCTTGACTAAATGTATTGTATTTAAAAAAAGAAATATGGGTAATTACTGACATGCATATCAAAGTAAACCCCTTCACAGACCCATTCACTATCCTTACATATCTTCATTTTGTATGGGTAACAACTCCGCCATTTTTTCTGGAATATTCAGATTTTTACATATTCGTAATGTGATAAAATGTAATTTATTTACTGGAGGACTGCTTTAATACAGGGTTGATTTTCTAATGGCGTAGATATTGCTCCCTTGAATGCATTCTTGAAATGAATGTATACTTAGCGAAGTAAATATTCGTCGGGCTTAGTGAATCAATTGAAACTGTGTTCACATTGAAAATTTGATTGTGTGTAAAGATGGTATAAAACAGTTGTAAAGCAATCCTATTATACAGTATGTAAAACTTGTAAAGAAAATAAATGTCACCTTGCAGCTTAAAGATCATTAACTAGTATTTAAAGTGGAGCTTAAGGACTCGATCACACTTTGTTTAGGAGGAACACAAGTTCCTGCTCATGTTTTCACACATTTCTTAGGGTCATAAATAGGGCACCTACAAAAGTAGCTACAAACGAGCATCTACTGTGGTGTATCAGATTTTCATGCTTTATTACAATATCAATATTAAAAAACTGCAAATACATCAAGTATATAAAGTCTAAACCTTCCTCCAAACAGCATTAAAACCAAAAATTGACAATGTTTTCACCTTTAAAACTAGAGCCGGGCCCCCCTCACTCGCCACTCTTCCTCACAACGCAAATAGACTTAGTTAATACAGTGCCCTAGGCAGTTAGTGTGGAGCTACTGTGTTAAAGCGAGGGCTACTGCAGTAATATTCCACCCTCCCAGGGTTTAAAATAACGTTACTGTTCCATCAGCACGGTCACATGGGCAAAACATGTTGACATAGGCAGTGTCATCAAGCACACGCTTTACCCACTATAGCGGTTTCCAACATGCTGTTTCAGTTAAATGCACTCTTGGACATAATATGAAGACAATCAACAGCCTATAATAACCAGAGGTGCAGTGCTATATTATTGGGAGAAACAGACTTATTGGGACAAGCAGGCATCTGACTGAGGTCAGACCCAGGAGTGGTGAAAGCCTCCAGACATGAAGTGTGTGATTGCATGAGAGATTATTATTGCTACGGAAGTAATGTGATGGACTGAGCTTATGCCACTCTGTCAATGCCCTTACTGCAATTTCTGCTTCATCATGCTTTATCTCATCTGCCTGCTAAATGCTTCATACTGCTGCATGGTTGAGACATATGGAGATCTGAATGATGGACTATGTATACATATGAATGAAAGTGGTGGTGGAATGCTACTGGTATCCTGTGACTACCAGGGGCGGACTGACAACTCATGGGGCCCCCGGGCAATAGGGGATCATGGGGCCCCTGTGTCCTTACCCAAACTCAAAAAAGCCTATGAAAGGTACCAGGGGCATCTCATGGGGCCCCCTACTGACCCCGGGCCCTCGGCCGGTGCCCGAGTCTCCAAATAGTCAGTCAGTCCGCCCCTGGTGACTACCAATGTGGCTGATGAGTGTTGGTAGTATGCAATAAAACAATGCAGCCAGTACTCCAAATAATTGCAGCGTAATCACACAGACCGCTGATCCTAATAGGCTATGCTCTATGTGGACTATGATCACTGTTAGTTAAGAGAGGAGTACACTGCTCTATCACCATCCAGTAAAGTTATTTTAAAATATTTAAATGGAATATTACTGCATTAGCACTTGCTTTAACACAATAGCTCCACATGATCTAACTAGGCCACTGTCTGGAATAAATATATTTGTGGTCTGAGGAAGTGTGACGTGTGAGTGGCCTGGGCTCTAGTCTAGCAATAAAAAATTGACAGAGGGCTTCTTCTCCACACTCCCCAAAAACAAGAAAAACAAAATGACTGGATTTCTATTTTAACCACTTTCCACCCAACCAATTAAATACATGTCTGGGTGCGTACTCTCCAATTCTGTAAGGACGTTACTGAGCGTCATCCCATTCACATGTCCTGTGTGCAGTGGTGCAATCTGTAACCTGCTATGTCCAGTGAATGGCCCAGGTACCAATCACATCAATCATATGATCACAAGTAAACAACTGTCATGAATGGATTTCATTCATTGCAGCATTTCTTACTGTTGTGATCTGCGTAATTGCTCATACTGATCATATGGTAAAGGGCCTCTTGCCCTAATCACAAAGGCCCTTTACCATGCAATAGCTGTAGCCAATCACAGCAATCATAGTAGTAAATAATGAATCATGAATGAAAGCCATTCATGACAGTTAACATAAATGTAATAAGCAATCATACTGTAAAAAAAATCCAGATCACCTTTCCAGAGTAGTAGTTTGTTTGTTTTTTTACATACTGTTACCAGTAGTGCCCCCAACCTTGCATGTGACTGAGCCCTAATAATGCAGCCAATCAGTTCTCCGATCACCACCACACTAGCCACAGTGTCCACAGACCAGTGTAGCTAGAATCAGTGTTCCTTATTTGCCTGTTTATTGACTACATTTATGCCTGTTGCCTGGACCAATTCCTTGCCCGCATGCTGACTATGTCGCAGCCTGCACCTGAGCTGACTCATCTGCATATCCCACTAGCTATGTTCCTGCAAGACACCAGTCCCAGACATCCTCTGTGGCCAACTGCACTCCTAAAACCATGGGAACTCTTTTGTTCTAACTTCTTTAGCCTCCTGTACTTCCTTGCCAGTGAGCAAGGTATTCCTAGGGAAGCCATGTACCAACAGGCTAAGCTTGCTTGGCCTCTAGGAATTGAGACTGCTACACTAAGCTATATTTTCTGACCAATCATAAAAAGGCTACTATACAGTACATTGCTTTTTTACAATCATTTGTTTTGTGAAATACAAAAGATACAATGTCTAGTACATAATCCGTTCAGGCACTGAAAAAGTCTCACACATGTGACATTAGCATACTCAGAAGGAGTATCATAATGTGTTTTTGATTGTAATTCTAAGTATACCCATGCTGTACATGAGAAATATCTTGTTAAATTGATACATTTGTGTAATATATTTTAATTTTCATTCCTCATTTTCCAAAAACGTCTGGATAAAATAGAAGTCTTAAAAATACTCATCATGCCTCTTAGAAAATACAGTGGGGTGTTTGCTTTCCAAATGTTTTTTTATTTTATTTTATGAGTGCTTTCAATGTCCTGGTGTTCCAGGGCCTTCAAAATGTGATCAGGAACTCAGTTGCATAATTTATGCTCCTAGAAAGCCCCTCTATGTGGCTAGGTGGTGAAAAAACTCTCACACAGGTGGTATCCCATACTTAGGAGGAATAGCAGAATGTGTTTGAAGTGTAATTCTAAGTATGCCTATGATGTGTGTTAGAAATATTTTATAACTGACAACTTTGTGCAGATAAAGATACATTTTTATTTTCTTTCCTGCATTTTTCAAAACTGTGTGCCAAAAAATGACATATTAAAAAAACTCATTATG